GTGTATGTTAAGAGTAATGCCCAAACCCATAAACACCACCCCAAGCCCACCTTCCTTTGTAATGTGTGCTACACAGAGATACGTGCTCTGTAACACGTTCCGTAGAAAGTTTACTAATAGGCAAAATATTGTCAAGAACTTCTTGAATTCTGGCTTATCATATAAGGTTAAAAATATAAAGTCAGGAATAACTGAAAAATAAAATAATTAATTGTAGGTTACTTAATAAATTGTTTTCCCCTATCAAGAAAAAATATGCATGTGGATATATACATATACCTTAATATAGGCATTTCACAACTGTTCCTACCAGAATGTGCCCTTTGAAATAGTGAACTTTATGTTCAGAAGTCTAAGTCAATGTTAGCACTGAGTTATGATGCTATCAAACTATGATTATCGCCTCGAATAGCCAGCATTATGTCAACAAAAATAGCCTATCCATGAGGAATAGTGCAAATAAAAAGAACAAGGAATCATAGTAAGCGTCAAATTTTGAAGAGGGAGAAAAATCTGTTTTTCTTTACAAAGAAGAACCAACCACTACTCAGTATTTCCTGAGGAAAAACTTTGACCTGGCTAAGTGGTAAAGACATTTTCCACAGAACAATATGCTTAGATACCTGGGAGGAAAAAAAGACTTGAAAACCTACTAGCAAATATATGTTTTAAAAAATACCCTTGTGTGATTCTTCAAAGGAGCCCTCAATGCCACGCAGTAATTTTATTGGCAGACTTTGAGTCTCTGCGTCTACCTGACCAGCTTTAACAAGAGGAAACTGAGGCTGCGAGTCACCCCGGGTCACGGTTGTTTGCTCCCCAAGCCTGACAGGGTAACTCGCACCCACATGACACACTCAGGTCCAGTGTCCACCCTCAGGGCTTTCCATTTAGCTTTGTCATAATTTACTTTACAATTTAGCAACGAGACAATCCCTTCACTGGGAATAATTAACAGAGAGGTGGCTTGCTCGTGGGGAATGCCCTTAGACTGAAATAAAGACACACACACGTCTCTCAGCCATTGCTTATTTCTGTCAGCCTGAAAAAAAAATTAATGTCGGTGACAGTCATTTTTCGTGTTTGGATAGATTGGTTGAACACAGAATTTCCCTTTCTCCATTAACTTTGAAACGATGTACAGGAGGGAACAGGCCATAAACTCTCAACTGCTGGATCTCAGAACTCCTTTTTACTCTTAAAAAAGTACCAAGGATAGCAGGACATGGTGATGTATGCCAGGAAGGTCGGCACTGAAGAGACGGAGGAGGAAGATCAGCTTGAGCTGCAAAGAAACTTCAAGCCTGGCTCCACATATACATATACATGTGCATATACATATCTGCATACATATATACTTATATATCAAGGATCCCAAATAACTTTTGTTATGGGAGTTATAACTGCATTAAACTAGAAATTAAAAATATTTTAACTCATGTTCATGTAAGTCATTATATATTGACAGTGTAAGTTTATGAAAAAGTAACTGAATTTCCACAAATGAAAAGCTTGAGTAAGTTTTCTTGCTCTGCTTAACATCTTTGCTAGCCTGTTGTTTCCCTTAATAGAAGGCAGCTGGATTCTCGTATCACCTTTTGTGTTCAATGTGTAGTAGATGGGTTTTGCTTCAAGTATATGAAGGAAGCATAGTTTCATACACACATGTTGCTGGAAAATAGTAACAGTTTATAGATCTTTTAAAAATCACTGTAAGTACTATTGTCCTACGCTGAAAATGGACAGTAAGTAGATTCTTCTTTTTTTACTTTTTCTGCCAGTCCTAGGGCTTGAACTCAAGGCCTGGGTGCTGTCCCTAGGCTATGTTTGCTCCTACCACTCGAGCCACAGCTCCACTTCCGGCTTATTTTGTGGTTAAGTGGAGTCTCATAGACTTTCTAGCCTGGGCTGGCTTTGAACCACGATCCTCCGATCTCAGCCTCCCAAGTGGCTAGGATTACAGGCACAGGTCACTGGCATCTATCTTTAGATTCTAAAAGGTTACATGCAACATGGAATTTGAAAGAATACTACTAGAAAATATTACATGAAAACCCATTGCTCTATCTTCCATCTTGAGTAGATCTTTCACCAATGCATGAATTCTGACTGCATGACTCTGCTTGAAAAGTCCTTAGGAAGTCCCCACTTTCTTCCACTTATTTTTGAAACTATTAGAAATAGTTTAGAGTCCTATCTGAAAAATGAAGGACACTATAATACCAAGAAGAATTTATACAGATCCTTTACCATCTTTAATTCATCAATTTACTCAATATTCCCTTTATGGTCTCTTGTGGCCCATTCTTATAATCCTAGCTACTCAGAAGGCTGAGATCTGAGGATCTCAGTTTGAAGACAGCCCAGGCAGAAATATCCAAGAGATTCTTATCTCCAAGTAACCAGCAAAAAGCCAGCAGTGGCTCAAGTAATATAGTGCTAGCCTTGAGGTAAAGCTAAGCACGAGTATGAGGCCCCAAGTTCAAGCCCCCACTACTGGTGTGCATGCACAGGTTTGCATACAATTCCCTCAAATGAGACATCCTCACCCGAAATGAGGAAATATGCAAAAGGATCCCATTTTGGTCCAAAAGATACAGAATAAAAGAATGATGAAGTTACAATGAAGTTAAATTGATTACTGATACCTAAGAAAGACTTAAACACATCCTCCAGTCCTTGAATCTTTACTCTTGAAATGAACAAAACAAAGCGGCTTGGGTAAATATCTACCAGGAAAGGAATTAGTAATCTGTAAGAGACTTCAGACAACACACAGGTTTCCACATTAAAGTGTTCGGAAAACTCATCCTAACTGGTATGTATTCAGGCAGAGCCCTCTTTCCCTGTATTAGCACACGCGGAACCATCCATCCTCTCCACAGGATCCGCTATGCCTCTGTGTCCACAAACACCCCACAGCCATCCACTCCTGTCACCAGGTAATCATCTTGATAATCTGGAGGGAGCTCATAAACTGAATGTGAGAACCACAATTCAAATGGTAGAAACAAGAGGTAAGAGAAACAAAATGATGATTTTGCCTTCTGTACTCTAGTGTTTCTACCAGAAGTAACATTGCCCAATGCTACTGTCTTCAAAATGATAATGAATGAATGAATGAATGAATGGTGGATCCTTACTCTCTTTTTCTCATAAAAAATGAGATTTTCAACATAAGAAATTACCAAAGGTTTCATGTAAAATACTTAAATATTTCAAATATTCCTTTGAAATTTTTGTGGCATTTCTTTTCTCTCCATTTTATGAAAACTGAAAGATTAGAAAACTCTTTAAAACAAGAACTAAACTACATATGATTCTGACTTACATACCAGATGATCATCAGATAAACTTTCCATAAACTCGTATAAATTGTTTTCACTACCTTTCAGTAGGTCTATTTCCAAAGCAGTGAATGAGAGTTCTTGACATGAGCAAACTGTAAAGCACTGAAGTAAAGAGCTATACACAGGAACACACATACAGCTGAGTAACAGAGATAAATAAACTACCAGGCTATACACTATGCTTTCCTGCAATGAATATATATATATATATATATATATATACATATATATGTGGGTATATATATATATATATATTTATATACCCACATATATACACCCACATATATATCCCCACATCAGATAAACAAAAATTTCCTCCTCTAAAAATAAAATGAGGTACTATCAGTAAAACACATGCTTAGCTTGGTTCTGATGTAAACTATGTTCTCTTAGGCCCTGTGTCAGAATCTGGAATGTACTATGACTGGGTAGCTCCGGCTTCTATAAAAGCAAGAGGAGAAATGTTGAACCAGTGATAAGGAAAATGCACAAAGTAAAATCTTTTGCTTTTGGTTTGGAACATAATAACAATAAAAGACAAAGCTAAAGGAATACAGGTAAGCCCTCTACTCTGTTAAGGGAGTAGACGTATTTCCCATAAAATAGGTTTTTTAAAAAATGAAGGAACATATCCACATATTCCTTAATGCCAAAGGCATGAACGCTGTCTAGAAAATTTATTCCTTAGATATTCCAGATAGGGATCATTTGTCACAACTATGCAATAAAAAAGTACAGAAGCAAAGTCCAATTATGCATTACATAACTTAGAACCACCCTTTACAGTCATATCTAAAACCTCTTCCCTGTTTCTTCTAAAATATATACAACATGTTATCTGCAATAAGGAAAAGCAAGATAGAATGTACTGTAAATCATTTCTTCTTGCAGATCTGAAAAGTTATAAATATTTCAATTGAAAACTACAGTGACACATTTCACTTTGAATCTGAGTGAGAAAGCGAGATTGTCCACTAAGTAATTTTAGATGTGCTGAGACTTTAAAAGGCCTCAACGGTTATGGAAACCATTTATTTGCACTGAAGACCACACTTTCATAAAATTAACCTACCTAGAAAAAGAGTGGGAGGGAAGGAAGCTCGTAGAAACAGATTGGGGATTTTATCTTTCACAGCCAATGAAGCAATTATAAAAATTTTAAATGTAAGACATGTTAAAGGAAGGCTAGAAGACCACAAGCAAAGTAATTTAGTGCAGTTTCATTGACCCACCAAACAGCTAAAAGGAAAAAAAAATCTAGTCTGCTAAAGTAAATATAGTAACTGGCAGTAGAAAACAAACACATTTTCCCAACACCTAAAACAGACAACAGCAGGAGACCTATACATGCTGCTTCAAAGTCTAAGAGACTTAAGAATTCCTTGTCCCTCTACTGCAAGAAAATAATAGCGTTATATCAACAAGAAAAGGTGAGTTTGCACTCCATGACCATCCTTAAAACAAGCAGAATGGTGATCAGCTGGAACGTGTTTAAATTTCTGAATTACAAATCAATTACAGAAAGCTAATCATCAACAATTTACAAAAGCCATGGTTTTCAAAAGGAAGGAAGGAAGGGAGGGAAGAAAGGAGGGAGAGAAGAAAGCAGGGAGAGAGGGCAGGAGAGAGGGAGGGAGGAAGTCAATTTACCTTGATACATTTTCTGGAATGTATTCTAGTACTGGATATCCATCACTTCTTCTAGACGACAGGTCACTGTGTGATTTCCATGACTCCACTAAAGTATTGACAGGAGGAAAGGAACTCAGGTGTTGGAAAGATTGGTCTCTAGGTGAGCGTGATAAAGATATTGTACCTTGAGCACCAATCCTGTAGTGAAAAGACTGTCCACCTGAATTCACACCAACAATGGCAGAGGCGGGAGGGATGCTGGCTTCAGGATAATAGCTCCCATCATCCGGCTCTTGCTTAATCCCCACTGGGAATCCGCCACCTTCACAGCTAGCATCAAAGCCAGGCACAGGTGGTCCTAAAATTCCTGACAGAGAATAATAGTCTTTATCATCCATAAAGGAAAAATATGAGCCATCCATGAATGGAAATGGGTTGACCGTCGGATTCCCTTTAAAAGAGTCACCTGAACATGAATGCTTGGTTGATTCTTGCTTGATTGGTACTGAAAATGGTGATTCCGAAGTGATTTTGTTATTTCCTCCTAGACAGGAGCTCCTGAAAGCTCCATCTGGTTCTGGTTTGATGTACTGGACGAGGCTGAGCTGGCCAGCCACACCGTTTGAGATGGCATTCTCGACTTCCTCGGTCTTGGGAAAAGGGACCTCGTGAGCACCTTTCTCGTGTGTGTCCGGACTGGAAGCCACATCCCGGGTGGCACTGGCCCCAGCACAGGTGCCAGAAGCGGCATAGCCGAAGGCATTGCTCATGGGGCTGCAGATGGACCCCACGGTGCTGGCCGTGGGGCTGGAGAGCGTGGATCTGTTGTTTGTGTTGGAAGGGCTGGACACGGAGCACCTTGAGTTGTGGAGATTTGCAGGGCTGGACACGGAGGAGCGCAGCGTGACGTTGTGGGGACTGGAGACTGGAGACTTCACACTGCAATGACTTGGGGAGCTGCACACAGGGGATTTCATGCTACTCAACGGACTGGACAGAGGGGAGCCCACGTTGCTAGCGTGCGCGGGGCTGTGCGACCGGGAGCCTCGGGTTTCCACGTTGGGGGAACACATCAGAGGGGTTCCTTGGGTGATGGGGCTGTGCACTGGGAAACTGCCAAAGCTGGCCGAGGTGGAGGACACGGAGCTGATTCCAGCGGGGCTACAAGCCGAGGTGGCCATGTTCAGAGGGCTGCAGACAGAGGGGCTCCTCTCATGACACAGGATGGGGCTCTTCACCATGGCTCGCATGACCCCACCCCCACCAACATTCGTGGAGCTCCCAGAGTCAGACAGAAACGACCTCAGGGGCCTGCTCCCACTGCCGAGCGTAGAAGGACGATGCCCGTTCTCTTTGTAGAATTTCACCAGCTGTTCCATATTTTGGTAAATCTTGGCTGGGCTCAGGCTGCCTGGGGCGTTCTGCTGATCATAGCTGTAGTCGGGCTCTCTTACGGAATCCATGTACAAACCCATGGACTCAGCCACGGTGGCTGACAGTTCCTTAGAGTCCAGCTCGGTTTTGATATCGGATGTTAAGATCCCACAGCGACTGCTGTCTTGCTGAAGGCAAGGGAGGAGCTCATGCTTTTCTCTGCTGCTTCCTTGAGTACTGTCATTTGGAATAGCACCGGAAACACAGTTGACGTCCACCACCTGCATGTAGCTCTTCTCATCCGTCCTCTCTGGAGGTCCCAAAGAAGGCTCCGCAGCCTGAGAAACTTCACTCCACCGTCTTTCCATATCTGGACCTTCAACGAGGTTGTGGTAACCTTTGGTCTCCATAGCTAACAAAAGAAATTGATATTAAAGCATCAGAGTCCGTAACAACGGTATTACACTAAAATACATTTTACGATATGCATTGAGCTACAAATACGTATTCTACGATGATAAGAAATATTTCAAGTTATATGAAAACTTCTTGAGTGTTGATGTAGCAGGATATTAACTAGAAGCTGTGCAGAAGCCAGAATAAAGCTAACCTTATAAAACTTTTGCATTGGAATACAAGTAATGTACTTGCATAGACTATTTACACATGTTAACTTACTTGAATATTAAGTAATATTCAAAGTACCCTGGTAACTAATGAGGCAGTCAAAGGAGAAACTGAGGACTCCCTGAGGTAGGTGACCTGCCCAGTGTCAAAGGCCTGGTGACAAAGTTGGGTTGAAATCTCTGATTCCAACACTTCTAGAGCCTTTTTGATTATATGTTTCCCATGTGGTCAAACACATGGCCTTGTTAAAACTAGGGAAACACAACTCAGATTACAATTTCCAAATTAAAATTTTCCAAGACAATCGTTTTATGATTTGCTTCTAAGACAAAACATTCGGAATCCTAGCCACTCGGGAGGCTGAGATCTGAGGACCTCAGTTTGAAGCCAGCTTGGGCAGGAATGTCTGTGAGACTTTCTCTCTAATAAACTACCACAAAACCGGAAGTTTGAAGCTATGGCATGAGTGGTAGAGCACCAGACTTGGGCAAAAATGCTTTGGGACAGTGCCATGCCCTGAGTTCAAGTCCCAGGACTGACACAACAACAACAACAACAAACCCCATAAACAACAAAAAGAAATTGTAAAAAAAAAAAAAAACTTTAAGGTAGATTCCTGGTGAAGACAGTTTGGTGTCAGTTCTACCTTATGAACATGGTCCACAGATCAGAGCTGTATGACAACCTAGGACTCCTCCCAGTGTTTTAGTACTGGCCAAGAGGATGACATGCACCTTGATCTAGAGGCCCCTCTGCTGGACAGACCCTCAACAGCCAGACTGTCTTACTTTCAGCTGGGAAACAAGGAAGTTCCAGAGAGATTCTGAAATGTTAAGCATTCAATCATTCAACACTATTTACGGGATGCTTGCTGCCTCCCAGGCCTGAGACCAGTGGTTGAGACTGTAGTGATCAAGGGAACAGGTCTAGGCCTTAACCTCTGGGAGCCTACCAGATTGTTTTAGACCTACCACCATATCCATTAGGTCCAATAGATAAATCCAGTTTCTGAGCAGATTATATAATCGGTCATACACATATGATTCTTATGCATTATACACTGTTCTATATACTTGAGTGTAGTGTCACACATCTTTTACATAGAGTAACTTAGGTATCCTTACAACCAACCCTATGGGGCTGCTGAAAATGTGATTTCAATAAGCAAATGGACGCACTGGCCACACAAATAAATTGCAGAGCTGGAAATGGAGGTAGGCAGATCTCTACAGCTCTGACACCCACTCACTAGATGCCTGGGCACTCTTCATCCCACAGCCATAATAATATTTTTTTTAAGTCTCTATCTCAAATGTCCCTAGGGAATAAAATCACCCTGGACAAACCATTCGAAATAAAGATTTTGCAGAAATAAACTCATTCTAGGTAAAGATTCTATTTGCATATTTTACTCTTGTTTTTTAATTATGCATCTTTTTCTTCCAATCCTTTCAGGTCTGTAAATAATCTGTGACCCAGCAGAGGTCCCACATTCTTCAAACTGCATAACAAACCCTAGAATAAACCTCCTGTCCTTTCTAGGAAAGTTCTGCATTCTTCAGTCTGAACCGAAGGCCTACCTTAGGCCTCCAACCCTTTCCCCACTTTCCAACTTCCTCCAGCCTCTCAACTTTCTCGTCATGAAAACATGAGATTAGGAAGTCCTTTTGCTATGGAACTTGATATTAAGACTGAAAAATAATGTAATACCTTGACTAAATAAAGTGGCATTAGAAATCACAAAGTTCTGTAATGAAATCTAATGCCCAAGTTGTCTGAATTTTTATAATTATATTGTGCTTTTCTGTATTCCACAGTAGATGTTAACTTCTGAACGGTGAGAAACTACGTTTTCCCACTGTGTCCCAGATGGGTAGTAAGGCACAATTTTTTAAAAAAATTAAACAATCATGTTATAATCAATCCTCCATTTATGAACATTAAAATCGACCAGTTATATGGCATGCTTCTACTTGAAGAACATTATTCTATGAATTCATAATCGAAAATCAATCACAAAAACAGAAAAAGAAATCAAATTTAACAAGGTTTGGAGTAATCATCTGATAATTCTAGCCATAAGAAAAAAAAAGTGGTGGGAATAAAAGCCAAACACAACTTGAAAAAGAAATGATTTAGAATCAATTAACTCATTGCTAATACTGAACTTCCCTAAGTTCCTGAAAACCCATTTTTATCATAGTTATGGATTAGAAAATATAGTAAATGTAATATATTTTCTTCTACCTTTACCCAGGAATATTCTATTCTCCCCAAAGATGAACCACCAGGATAAAGCTAAGGTATAGATATTTCAGGTCCAAAGTCAGTAAGTGACACAAGAAATATGTCCATTCATAGTCACACAGAACGCCTGTGTGTAGCTCACCCATTCCCTGCCCCCCCCCAACTCAGCTTCCTATCTCTGCATCACCATCTATCAAATACCGGAAGTGACCCTAGACTCTGTACCTTGGCTGAAAGGCCTCTACTCGAAGACCTCTTCATTCCTCGGGCTCCACCCTTGTTCTGAAGGGGAATCCCCACTCAGACCCCTCTCCAAAACCATTCTCCCCATTTGCTCGTGGGAAGAGTGGTCACTCACTGGCCTTCTGATGGCTCACAAAGCAGGCCTACATGCTAAAACCCCTGGAGATTCTATCCTGCAGAAGTCACTTTACTGTTAACCCAGACTTCCTCAAATCATTTGGTCATAGCAATCTTCTGTCATTGAACGTCTACTAACATTCTGAGGGACATTTGTCATCACTCCACCCAAAGTAGGAGCCCGGTGCCAAATACGTGAGACTCTGTGGAGGAGGAACTAGAAGAGAGAGAGAATGGCGCCAAGGAGTAAAGCCCTCTACAAGGAAACATCTTATCAGCTAACATCAGACAGCTGATCACAACTTCCCAAGTCCTGGTTCACTAGTCCTGAACTCTCTTAACAGTATCATAAAGCAGCCTGTACCTGACCAGGTTATTGACAGGACTATCATGGGAGCATTTGCCAAAGGCTTTGCTGAAGTCTAAATTAGCTTTGTTTAAGGTATTCTCACCCAGCAACCTCACGCACCTCTCCACAAAGGAAGCAGAGTAAAGGTTGGCCTCAAACACAAAACAATGCATGGCGCCAGCACCTTCCCTTGACTGCCGCTGCAAACAGGTTTTTCAAAATTTGGAGGTTTTTTTGTTTTGTTTTTAGAAATATGATTGAAATATTTTATTCAGAGTTCTGTCTATGATGTTTCTTCCATACACAAATGGATCCGTTTAGAAATTAATTCCCTATACTGTCCAGGAAACCAACCCTGGAGGTTGTCTTTTTAGAATTAGCATAGTGCCCATAACTTTAGCAGAATTTCACTCAAGCTGAGCTCCCTAATGAATAAGGAAGCCACCGCTTTTGACGAGTGGGATTCTGGTAAAACTTAATATCCAGAAGATAAAGGGAAAGTTTTTGATACTGAGGTCGGCATGTCTCCTTTAGGTAAAATCAAGTTCCCATGCTTCCCATCTGTTAGGCTAAGGACTCTTGGGACAAAGGCAAAAATCCATTATGAGCTTAAATTTTTATGCATATAGCCCCCCCAAGCATAAAAAGAATTCACAGAGGTAAAGGAAAGCACTGATGGAGGTTCTACTTTAAGACACACACACACTCACACACACACACACACGTGCTCATATAATATTTTTATAAAGGAAAACCTGACTTTTAAACTTTATGTGATGTATGTGTATATATATCATCTGTACATACATACATATATATCTCCCATTGCCCTTTTCCATAAGAAAGTAGGTTTTAATCCAGAATCATAGCAAGAAGTCCTTAGGAATATGTATCTTATCTGGAGTTTCATCTTTAATATCCTCACAATCCTTTTGGTATCTTAAGACTAAGCCTTAAGAGATTCACCTTTATCACTAGCTGTACAGTTGTACCGGTTCACCGCATGCAAGTATTTTTTTGGTCTTTTGAGCTCTTCAGAGCTCTTCCCTTCCCCTTTCCGAGAGGAGGAAGAAGCCTGCTCAAGGTCACCTAAGAGCGCAGGGAAACCGGTCAGAACTGAGTATACCTGCTTTCTATTCACTCACCCCATTCACAGAGCCTCCCAAGCTTTCCAAAATTTGCAAACCAGCCTTGATTTAAAAACAAAAACAAACAGGGCGGCAAAGCTCAGCTTGAGAGGATTCTTCCTCGCCTCCCCTCCCCATCCCGCAGCCCCCCTCCCCCAAAAAAAGGAAAACTTCTCTCCTCAAGCTGGTCCAGGATCCCACGCCATGAGAGCAAACACGGAATTAAAACTTCACAGCCGGACTTTCCCAGATGGGGGATGCCTGCCCTTACCCCGACGGACCACGTCAGTACCACCCCTCACAGCCGCACCTGGGGGGGGGGCGATTAGGAGCAATCTGGTGCCTTTATTCGCAACCCAGCGGTTCCCAAAAGCTGGTCTCGGCTGGCAAAAGTTTTCCTAAGTCCTGTTAGCATCGATTCCTAAAGCGGCTGGAGTCGACACGAGCCAGGGTGACTCGAACCGCTCAGCAGGACAGGCCACAGGCATCTGAAATTCGGCAGTGTGAGGATGCCACGGGAGAGACCGAGAGACAGGGAGAGACAGACAGCGAGGGGGAGGCTTCCTCCCCGCGCGCTGCGCTGCGCTGCCCCGGGGGGGGCTGCTGAGCCTCACCCCGAGTTTGCAGACGTCGGGGGGCGATGATGGAGTGGGGTGGGGTGGAGGTGGGAGGGGGACGGAGAATGCACGGGATGTCCAAG